GGTGATGCTTGATGGCTAGGGCCCAATTCATGGACCATGGTCTATGGATATATCATATATGTAAGTCTACCAAAATCCAAATGGAAGTGAAGCAGAGACAAACAGTACGCAATCATTCTCCACCTTTTAGCTCGATTTGTGAAGCTATTGTGACAATGAGCGACAACGACGACTTGACGAGTCACCACCGTATGATTTATGTTTTATGAGTTAATTGACAAAGAAATGAGAATTATGAATTTGTGATTTGGGAATTTAGGTTTAAGAAACTAGGGATAAGTGACACAAAATAATGGAGAAGATGTTGGTCTCAATTCAACTATACATACTTTGTTTTTTAATCAATTTTAATTGAAAATAAATTGGGACATTCTACAGATCGTGGAACAATTTTTTTGATCGAAACGAAAGTCCATACCTAGTTCTTTTAGTTCTAGTGGTGCATCTAGTTTAGCCACAGCTTCTAGTTGAAGGCACAAGTTGTTAACTAACACAAAGAAGTCTCAGGCTCAATTCAATATGGATGATCTTATATCCGATCCAGGGAAACGCTCCCTATCAAGTTATATGATCCTAATATTAGAGATGATGTTAGGATGGCATACTTAGAAAAAGGTCATTGTCAACAACATTGACATGCCTTTCTAAGAAGACCGATGGGAAATGACAATAGATGTTTTCGAAATGAATGGTTCTCTGAATTTTATTCGTTGGAGTGTAGCATAGAAAAGGATACGGCTAATTGTTTGTATTGCTACTTGTTCAAACCTGATATAGGAGGTCAAAAGGGTGGACATATATTCACTAAGATCGGCTATAGGGATTGGAAGCACAAAAAGACTTTGAAAGACCATGTCAGTTTCTTTGATAGTGTTTATAATCAAGCTTTCACAAAGTGTACTATATTATTTCTAATTTATACTGGGCCCTTATCCCTTTTTTTAGGTTCATTAGGATTCTGATTGGTTGGAACTTCCAGTTATTTTGGTAGAAATTTGAGTTTTCCCATAAGTTGATTGTATTCGTTGAGCAAATATAGATTTGATCAAAATTTGCTTTTCTACCAAAATAGTAGTCAACAAAAAGGTTATAGGACGAGGTTGACTGCGATGTTAGATTGTGCTAGACTATTCTTGATGCAAGGATTACCATTTCATGGTCATGATGAATCGATAAAATCTCCTAATAGAGAAATCTAATTGTGCTACTAGACTAGTATGTAGCTTGTTGTGAGGAAATTAAACAAGTATTATATAGTAATGCTTCTGGAAATGACCAAATGACCTCACCAATCATCTAAAAAGATATGGTTAATTGTTGTGCCGTAGAGACGATAGGGGGTATTATCAATGAGATGGGTGATTCTTTGTTTTCAATATTGGTTGATTAGGCTCGTGATGATTCTATAAGGGAACAAATGGCAATTGATTTGAGGTTTGTTGACAAAAGTAGGCAAGTGAATGAGCCTTTTTTGGGGCATTTCTCATGTCACTAGTACTTCTGCCCAATCACTGAAGGATGCCTTGATGCAATGTTTTCAACACATGGGTTGAGCATATCTAGCCTAAGAGGTTAAGGTTATGATGAAGCAAGCAATATGTCAGGTGAGTTTAATGGCTAGAAAGCTTTAATTTTCAGAGAGAACCCATAGACTATGTATGTTCATTACTTTGCTCACCAACTTTAGTTGGTAATTGTTTCTGTGTCATGTAAGAATAATACACTTGGTGATTTATTTAACATGCTTGCCATTATTATGAATTTGGTTATTGCATCATGTAAACGTGTAGATGCTCTTCGAGCAAGTTATCATTCTGATATTCTGGAAAAACTTAATATTGGGGAACTTTATGGTGGAAGTGGTAAGTTTTAAGAAATGAGTTTGGCCCACCCAGGTGATACTAGATGGGGCTCATATCTATTGATAGTTACTTGTATTATTACTATGTTTAATGCGATCATAGATGTTCTTGAGGTTATATCAGAAGGTGGCATAAATGCAGATCAGAAATCAATGGCCATGAGACAGATGAGCATTGTGTTAGATTTTGAATTCGTATTCAGTCTACATTTTATGTTTGAGATTCTTACAATTACAGAATATCTTTCTTAAGCTTTACAGAAAAAATATCAAGATATTCAGAATGCTATGATGTTATTAAATTTGCGTAAGTATGCGTTGCACACATGAGAGACAATGGTTGAGATAATTTGTTGAATAGGGTGATTGAGTTTTATGTTGGTAGACATATTTTTGTGCCGAATAGGCATGTAGCTCAGCAAGTGACTTACATGTTGATTTGTATTGTCATGTGATAGACTCAATCTTACAAGAGTTGATGATCGCTTTTCCAAAGACAACTATTAAGCTCTTTACTTGCATTTTGTGTTTAAGTTCAAGAGATTCATTTGCAGCTTTTGAAAAGGATAAATTGGTACGTTTTGCTCAGCTCTATCATTTGGACTTCAACAGTGAAGAGCTTTTATTATTTAGACTTCAACCTGACAAGTTTCTTATGCTTGAGAGAATGGTCGAAACTTTCTTTAATCTCAATTGTAAATCTCGTGTAGCTCAGAAGTTGGTTGAAACAAGAAGTTCTTGTTATTTTCCACTAGTTTATAGGCTGATCACCTTGATTTTGATATTACTTGTAGCAACTGCAAGCGTCGAAAGGGTATACTCTACTATGAATCTAATCAAGAGTGACTTGCGTAATAAAATGGTATATGATTGGTTGAATGACAATTTGGTGGTTTACATGGAGAATTTATTTATATTTATTTATTTATTTTTTTCTTGAAAAGTTGAGAATTAGGCAATATTGTAAGGTTTTCAAAATATGAGACCCCGTAGAATCTAGTAATCTAAATTTACCGTTATGGAGTAAGGTTGTGTCACACACACACATTAGATGTGATATTTTTATTATTTTGAGTTGTATTGAATTATATTTTCATATGTATAGAATTTTTACGTTTTAGTGTATATATATTGAATTTTTTTAATATTTTTTAATTAAATATTAATAAACGACATTGCTATTACGATTATTGATTGTCAATGGTCAACGGCCAACGTTCACCTAGCAGACTGTCCATCCTGGATTCGCCACTAGATGTGAATGAGTTGTGACTGCTTATATGTAAGTAATGATACTATCTTCTAACTTTCATAAATGTTTTCATTTGAGTAATAACATATGTTTGTTTTCCTGGACACTATATTTACAAATATAACAAAACTTGTGCCATTTTCATAAAAGTGGTCATCTTTAACGACATTTGTTCTGTTCTCATGAAAGCTTATAACAAACATAGAGACACTTAGTCATTCTCTTGCCCCTCTTGTAAGTTCCGTCACACTTGTGCCATTATCGTTGACGCTTATGTTTCTAATAATGTCACATGAGTCGTTATCATATTGTTTGTTTAGAAACTGCAATCCTTCGATAGTGAAATGTGCTGGTGTTAAAAATTCTATTTTAGTAAAATACTTGTGCTATTTTCATGGACATTTTCATCTCAGTAACGGTCCATAGGTGCCTTGAGAATATAATAAGTGCAACATATTTACGTTGTAATATGCACATGAAATTTATGGAAGTTGAGAGATTTGCTCATCAACTTAATCGAAATGAATTAATAGGATGATTTGTGCTTTTACCAATTCGCTAACATAAAATTTATGTTATTTTTATCTTTTCTGTCACATGGTCAACCTTCATGTTTTACACATGTTAGGTGGTCCGTTGTTGGATGTCGTTGCATTTAAAAAAAATTATAATGTAGGAAAAATCAACAGAACGACACTTGATATGAAAACAACCCTTGTTCAATTACGTGTGTAAACACGAGCATAAGTAATCATGTCTTATCCATACTCAAAGAATCAATAAGTGGAACTCATTTACGTTATTTTATGACATGATCAAACTTTCGATATTACGTTCATTAGGAAGTCCATTATTAAATATTATTTTGTTGAATTTTTTTTTTAAATATAGGTGAAAATTTTGGAACACAAGTATTGTTACTGGGTATGAATACAGAACTTGTGCTGTTACGTGTATAAACACTAGTATGAACAACCACGAGGCATTCGTGCCCTAAGAAATAATTAGTTAAGCTTACTTATGTTGTAATATGCACACATCTATAAAAGTTGAGAAGTATGTTTATTAACTTAATCGACACGTATGAATATGACAACTTGTGCTTTCACATCTTAATAGTATAAAAGTTATGTTATTTTAACTGTTCTTTGTAATAGTTTATCGTTCTGTGTTATATACATTAATGGGTCCATTATTATAGATCATTTTGTTGAAAAAATTAAATTAAAGCAGATAACGACTATAGTAGCATTTCACGTAATAAATAACGATTGAAGTTGTGTTCAACATTTTTGATAGCAGTTGGAGTGCTGTTATCATCCAATGGTCGTAGACAACGCAAAAATCACACTAAATACGAAAACATCAACTAAATATTATTTAATACTATATTCAATAATAATAGTACAATCTACATGATTCCTTGTCTTACTTTTCTCTTTAAATGTAAATGAGATTTTTCAATGTAGATGATGTGCTAACCAAACGCTTGTTCATATACTCAAAAAATACCCAAAATAAGTGAAAAATATAATAAAAACACGATTTTAGAGTAGCAAAAACGATGATTGAAGAGAAGAAAATGGACAATTGTAATTTTGAGAATCTAAAATTGAAGAAGATGAAAAGAGGAAAAATATATTATTTTCATAAATAATAGAAACTAGGGTTTTACAGTAAATTTGGAGAAGAAATGACAAGATTAAACAAGGAAAATTGGGGGCTATTGAGTTAATAACTGAAGGAGAATTTTGTCGGTATGCCAACTAAAGTAATTTGCATTTTTTCCCTTTGTTTTTATTATTGGTCAAAGGCGCCAAATACAATGTCCAACTAAGCTAATTGGCCAAATTCCCTGAAAAACATTCAGCTAATACAGGTACAGAGTCACACGTGCCAATAGCACAAAACCATTCAAATTAATTAATTTTCAAGACACAGCTAGCATGGTTAAAGATACAATGCATTTACAAGATTGAACTACATGATGAAAATGATTTCCATTACCTTTGTCTTGATGAGTGTAGAAACAGAAAAAATATACATCATAAGCAACATTGAAACAGAGATGTAGCACGGTGAATGGACAATATGATTTAGAAGCATTATTCACTTGCATCTCTGCGCTGCAATAGTAAGCCACAGATGAAAATCATATTGAGAGAACAAAAATGTTATTTATCAATAGTCACAAATTCCAGTAAAATTTCAAATCTCCAAAATAAATTAAAAAATTACTCCAAAAACACACATGACAATAAACCGTATGAAGTGTTCGAAAAAACTATTCTTGTAGCCGACTCCAAATTTAGTGGAAATAAAGCTTCGTTGCCCTTTTTATTTATTTATTATTATTATTTTTTGGGGTATATAACCAGCCTGCCGAAAAGCAATCCTGAGAGTTCCACAAAATTCACAGGTAATGGTCTAAAATGTTTAGTATGAAGTTGATTTTGACAACTTTTCTCGATTGTTTTTCCATGTTACATATGAATATTGAAGTTAAGGATGTTGAAATCATAAATTTCCCACTGACGATAGTCAATAGAACAACTCAGAAGAGGGAATAAGCCTGATCTAATTGCAAAGCATTTGATTTCATTTAATCTTTCTACATATGAGGTAATGGATCATGTAGAACAGAGAAAAAGGATTCACACAGCTGACGTAAAATATATTGAGAATAAAACTTAGTTACCCGTTGACAAGCAACACACTAAAATTTCATAGCTTAGTCCAGGTTACGTATATAGATAAAGGAAAACTGATTTGTATAGAGAACACAAATTCTTGAAAGAAGTAATGATTCCAAATATAGACTCAAGAAGAGCATTATTAAAATTGGCGATATGATATATAGCACATTAGATGCAAATCTTACCATTCGCTTGCTGATATAAGGCTGCAACGAGATCGGCTTCTCCGATTTACTTTCAACCTCTATAGATGATTTATTTTCCTTGTGAAATTCTTTTCTGGATTCTTTTCGGGTACCCAATTGCCAAACTCTACCAAAATTAGGAAGCCAATTAGCATCAAAATTATTGGTGACAAGCTCACCCTTCTTTTCCAGCTCTAGCTCTTTCTTTCTTCTCTCTGCCCAAGCAGCTCCAACCCGTTTTGGATTTAATTTTGAGGACTTCCCTGAATGGGAAACAAAATTGCTAAATTCTGGTTTTAGCCTAACGTCCCGTTGATTTCCTTCAGTTGCATCAAACCAAGGAGGAGGTGCTCCAGTATGAACATTTCCTTCAGTTGCTTCTCGGGGTAAGGAAGTTATTTGTGTAAGGTTTTGCAAAACTGTTGTCAAATTGCATTAATGAATAAACACATAAAAAAGGTTCTTGAAACTAAAGCTCAAAACTGATTTCATGTTTCCCATTAAACGGTTAGAAGAATCTGTAGCATTTCAATACATAAACAACTAGACTATGACGAGCAAACATGAAGCTACAAAGATACATTCTGAAAAGCAAGGAACTATAGATATAGATGTTACCCTGAGAACTGCTCACTCCATTAGCTGTTCTTTCACCAGGGCAAACCTGCTAAAGTTGCCAGCAAAGGTATCATACTGATAATATAATAATAATATTTGCCGGAATATTTATTGCAATACAGTGCAGTCAACTGTCAAATTGACTAAGAAATATATTAATCAAAGAACAAATTTTTTATTTTTTTATTTTTATTTTTTATAAGTTAATCAAAGAACAAAAATAGCAGCAAAATATATCAAATTCAAAATTCTAGTTACGTTATGATTGAAAAAAGAGTATTGCCAGACATACAAACATCCTAGAACTGTTAAAAAAGACATTGGAAGTTCAAGTCTCACCAGTTCGCTATACTAAATGCAAGAATACTCAACGAATCAAAGATACTGCCAAGTAACAAAAAAACATATTTCCTAAGTTCTCTTCTTTTTCTACAAATAATGTGGTCAGCTAATTTCGGTAAATTGGTGTGTTCTCACAGACAGACAACTTGGAAGTTTATCAAATGCCAGGTATCCCGGGCTAGAATATCTTCACTGGTAGCTTATACTTTGTTATTCACTCCATGCAGTTTTTCTTGATTACCGATGAATATAATCACAGATTAATAGTATTTTCTCTTACTGAAAATCTTTTGACTCGTGCCTCACAGCAACTTTGTGATACCGAGAACCTCTCATAGCAGGAGTTAAGTATAAATTAGACTGATGGTCTAGGGTAGTGACACCTGAAATCTTGTAACCAGGGGAAAGCCCATGTTTTTACTTTTCTTTTTCGATCGTTTCAATTGTAATTACAATTCATTTGATAACCAGTATAGTCGATGAAATCATAAAACTCTACGATTCATCAGAAAAGGGCATGATAATGACCTTTTCCTCATTTGGCACCAACAGGAAACCATGAAAATTGCTGTTGGTGTTCATTGTACTGGGCATAAGATCGAAAAGAATGCAAGGCATTCTAAGGGAGATGTCCAAAATAAAACGAACGATGGGAAGAATCGACGAGGAATCTAGAACATAAAATCGTGAAGACACCTGTTCTACTGGTCTGTTAGAGTGATTGTTAGGGATGTCCACATGGTTCAATTACCATGCAGCTGTCCAGTAACCAAACTTCAATGAAGTAGATAATTTACTTAGCTTTTACCTATCTCTTGCTATTCTCCATTCCCTGACCCCCTTCACCAAGTCCGTATTCTTTTGGTCTTCCAACTTTCATTCTCTCATGCTATATCTCTTTCACTTCTCTCCCCCACCTCCCAGGGCATATTTGCCTCCCCAAAACTACCACCCCAAGTCAATCTATTGGCTTTCATTTTCCCAGGAGGGTGGGGTTTAAATTGATATCTGGTGAAAAGCTAACCACCATGTCCACTCAATTAATTAATTGGTCTAAACGGGTAATTTGATATGTAGCTTGTGTCTACCTTCAACCCATATTTTACCCAATAGCACAAGTAATTGTAGCCTCCAACCAAAACAAATACACTGTGGCATCTTAGGAGCCTAGCTGCCCTAGCATTTATAGGATGAGGATCTATGGTTAGAATCTGTTCGAAAGCAGGTAACAATTTGTAATATAGAGACATTGATTATCCATTGACATAATAATATAAACCACATCTGCACTTATTCATAAGCCCATAGCTCACAGCAAGCTATTTGAAGCATTTGGCAAAGTGCATTAAGGATACAGGAGATCAAGTTCCAAACAAAAGATATGAAGAGGTTTCTTGTATAATCAAAGAAAGTTCATATAAATAAATAACAAGAATAAGACCAAAGAAACACAGTTTTATATGTTTTCTCAAGATGAATAAATGTTAAGACTTCAGTGAAGCTGTTGAAACTAACGAGAAACAGAACCAATATGCTTTGATCTCACAGTTCCATTTGTCCATCACAATTGATGCACAGGAAATGGTCTTACAAAAATAGTTTATGATTTAGAACATAATTCATACTGCGATAAAAACATTTTATCAAGAATAATGAACTGAATATAGAAGAAGAAACAGAAAGTGAAGGAAAACTTAATTAAGATTAGACTAACAATAAACTCACAGATCCATTAATGACATAACCAGAGGATGAGCATGCCCCAACAAGAGTGTTGCATGAATGTTGATATCCAACATAACCTATTCATGACATAAGCATAATAGATCATCAAGACCAATTACTTGAGATGCAAATTATGTAATACATGGAGCTATAAAGCATACTAACATCGTAAGGACGGTTTATAATAAAGACCATAACAGTAACACGGATATAGACCTGCTGAATTTTTCAAAACACGTGCATCTCCCACTTGTGTGCCCCCAAGCATATTCTGTAAAGGAGGGCCAGCCTCTGAGACTCGAGATAAATCTGAGTAAGATATCTGAGATCTCTCATTTGTATAGCTTTGTAAAGGCACAACACTTTTTGAGGTGTTAAAATCAAAATACTGGATATCAGTTTTATCAAAACTATTAACAGAGTCAAAGTTCAGTTCATTGTGGATATCATTCATTGGACCAATCAATGTTCCACGAGATTCAGCATTAGCACTTTCGGTCTTCAAACCATTGCACTTTTTCTCCCACTGCAAGCACAAATAACCAAGGGGAGCCGAGTATCACGACAGAGTTAGAAGTACGATATAATATGCCATTGAAAAACAGCTACGAACTAAGACAGGGGAGAATGCAATATAGATTTGCTAAGACAATCAAAACAACTTATGTTCTCCACTATAGAAGAGTATAGAATGAATACTAAAACTGGATTGTAGATTAATCCACAATTATGCAATTCACAGAAGAGATGACGAAGATATACTAAAAGAAGGTAAGCATAATCCATCAAATTGAAACATCATACTGATTGAATTTTCTAAATGAAAGAGTATTGATATGTTGCATTTGAGTTTTTTATGTCAAGGAACAAGCTGTATATCACAATATATTTCTCAACACTCTCATCACAGATTTTTCCACGCCAGACTTCACACTGACTATGACAAGTCTAGCTCAGTGCTTTGAAACTATACTTGTAATTCTTCTCTGTACTCGGGACTCGAATGCTAAACAGATAATTTGTTTTTGGGCATTTCAATCTTAGCAAATAAACACAAAAACTTTCATAATTATATGGTTCAAGATAAAAAAAAACACAAAAATATATTTAGGAATACATCACAAAATCCAGTTCACTTTTCCTCTACCTCTTTCTTCTCCTTGCTGAACTCAAGACTTAAAGAGAGCCTCAAATTTCATAACCAACAATACAGGAAGAGACGAGGCAGCGCCAGAGCATGTCCACACACACGAACACATAGAGATTTATGATCTGAGTTCGAAATTTACCTTCGCGAAATCTGCCTCGGAAATTCGAAAAGAGTCCACACGGTCCTTCTCGCCTCCATGTTTCCACATAAACCCCTTCACTCTCTTCCAATGTTCCTCACTAGCCAGATGCCGGATCGCATTGCCACTGAAACCCTCAAACATTCAAACAAGAACAATAATAACCATAACCAGAACAACAATCTAAGCTTCCAATATTGAGTAAAAAAATTTCAAAAATTATTTAAATTACTGACCATGCGAATGTACTATCGAGCTCGAGAATATCACAATCACAAAAAATACACCACAGACAGCTGCGATCCGCATGCTCGGGACGGAGGATGATTGGGGTTTTAACGAAGAATTTGACATCAGAGAGCTTGGATTGGAACCGCATGAGAAGTGAGGAGAGTGAGTTCTTGTGGCTGGGGAAATAAATGTGGCGGCGGCCTTTATTGTGGTTCAATTTACACACCTGACAGAATTCGAATTCATGTTGCTCCGAGTTTTTCTTCTTAGCATTCTTGTTATTGTTAGGATTAGGTCTCTTCTTCTGAAATTGGTCAGCCATTACTAACGTCTGTAACAGGGAAGCGGTTGTGCGCCACCAGTAGATGCGGAGTTTTGTGGCAGAGCTCCTCCGTCGCGAAGGTACAATGCATAATCCAAGAAGCGAAAAAGGATTTTAAAGAGCAAGACAGAGAAACTCCGGCCGTGTCAGGTCCATCCTTCGTTACATAATTGGGCCTATTTGGTTAGCAGGCCCAACCCGTACACGAGTCTGGCTAGCTTGTGACCTGTAATTTTCTTCTCCTTATTATTATTATTATTTTTTTTTTTGACAGAGTATGTTTCTTTTAAATATTGATTTGTTTAAATATCAAATAATACTTTGTAATTCTATTTCTGTTGGTCTAATTTTTTTATTTTTCAACTAAACAACCACACAAATGGCAAATTTATTAGTTAAAAAAAAAAAAAAAAACAAATTGACATTAAGAGGCCAATGCACCTAATTGAATTCAATTAGATCAAGAGGCGTGGATGTATTGTCAAAGATTTTCAGGAGGTGAGAGCGAGGATGCGACCATACTTTAGCGGGACACAAAGATTAAAATAAAATATTATTTTTATCTTTTAAATACAATTTAGATTGAAAAACATAAAAATAGATCAGAAAGATCGAGGAATGTTCATTTAATTCAAGGTCGAACCATGTTCCCCTCCCCTACCTTATTAACCATTCGGGGGATTTCCTGCCATATAAGTGGGATAATGTAAGTTTGAATAAGAGGCGAGAAATTTCCTTATCTCTGAAAAGAACAACAAAAAATAAAAAGAAATGACTTGTAGTTCAAAACAAGACAGCAGCAAAAACAATAATGCTCCATCTACAACTGGGATTGATAACCACACACATGAAAAGGGGGTCCATGTTAAATAAAACATCGTAGGTCTCTCTCCTGTGAGTACGTTGTCAATTGGGATTGTTAACCCCGATTGTACAACTAAAATAATTCATTTTGGAATAAAAGACCGATATAGAATGTGTTGTTAAAAAATAATGAAAAGTTTTGAATGTACGTTTGATATTATTTATTGAAAAATGTGTGATTGAAAAAAAAAGAGAAAAAAAATATTTTAAAAATAATGTGGATCAAACAACGACTTATTCAAAGTTCTACAAGAACATGGATTAGATATACATGAAGTTAGAAATAATAATTTCTTCAATCCACGAATTAAATAAACACAAAGTAGGGATGGCAATAAAATCCGTCCCGTGAAGTAAAAGAAAAAGATTAAAAATAATTTATTTCTAAACAATTCACCTGTTAAAAACTAGTTTTGAATTTGTATTTTATTCTCTAATACTAACATAATTCGAAACTTTGAAAATGTAAAAAATAAATAAAAAATAAAAAAAATTAAACAAGTCAACAAACAGGGCAAAAAGTTGCCCCGTCCCCACCGCGCCCCACCTCGTCTAAGGTGCTCGCCCCATTGCCATCACTAACACAAAGTCAGCAATTATCTTCTTCAATCCCCATATATGTCTATATCCCCTAATTTACTACCACATAGCATTTGCATTTTCAACTAACTTTCTACTACAAAATAACTATGAATTACTATGGTCCTGTTGGGCTTTCATTTTATAAAACTAATTTTCAACCACATATTTCATGAGAACGACGATTTTTATCAACGTTTCAATTTTCTAATTTATCAATTTCTATCAAAATCTAATTTTAACGAAACCATATAAAGGCTGCATGTCAAGTAATTTCGGGATAAAGACGTAATATTTGGATGGACAAAATATGCCTACCACCTTCGGATGCAGGCATCTCTAGTCAAATGTATGCGAACGCAACTAATAGTTGCTCGAACTTAAGCTGCTAAAGACGAGACATAGATATGTATTCAACGTGTTCCCTCACTATTGGATTATGTTTATTTCTTCATCTAATGCCCGACACAATCAATTTTTATGATAAGGTAGTGAAAAACTGGAATTTAAAATATTCTCTATCACCACATTAAATCAATCCATCTTAATTCAACATTTTATTTCTTGAATTCTTCCATCACACAGTTAAACAATTTTCATTTTTTCATGAAAAAAAAAAACATTCTTATTGGTTATTTTCATAGGACTTCCTATGAAATTGGTTCTCAGAAATGCCCAACTCAATATAGATTTCAAGAAAAATAACCAAAGAAATAAAAATAATAATCAAAGTTGACTAAGTAGAGAGTTTGATTTAGGCCCTATTTGATTTCCATTTTTCTTAAAATGCATTTTTTTCTATCTTCTTTTCAACCACACATTCTTCATTAAAATAATATTACAAATAAATCAAAACATTTCATCCACACATTCTTCATCCATCTACTATTCTTAAATTCATTTTTAAATTTTTTTTTTTTACAAAAATGGGTGTCAATCACCCTCTTAGTCCGAGTTCTTGAAATAGTAGGCGTTTCGCTAGCAAGTTCTTTTCCGCTCACTAATTAAATGTGATTTAATACAAGTTAAGCCATTTTTCATTTGTTAGTCACCTAGAGTCCGTCTAGTGCGAATAAAATAAGTCAAAGTCAAACAATTAATAACTGCATCTTTCATAAATTTCACAATTCTTTAACCACATATTTCATAAAACTTCTAATTTAAATATGATTAAATCTTTCGATAGCTAATGCTAAAGGTTTAAAATAACTTCTGATTATAGTCACTTTTAATCATTTTAAAAAATTAAATACAGATGACATCACATACCTAAGACCCTATGCTTTTGAAAAACATACTTAAATGAGATTTATAAGTCATTGGTTTGAATTAAAATCTGATTTTAATCTAAGTTAAAGTTAAATAATTAATATTAATCACATCTTTCATGGTCCCACAACTTTTCAACCACACATTTCAAAAACTTATTTAACAAGCTACTAAAAAATCTAATTTTGATCCCCACCAAACACCCTTTTAAATTCCTTCAAACATCATTATATAAGAAATTAAAGGTATACAAGTCAACACCCATTGTTAATAAAATTGAATGAAAACATGAAGAGTCGTACCTAACATGCCTATTTTCTTTTTATATCGTTGAGTACATCTCAATCCAACTTATAAAGCATGTCAAACACATCTAAAAGCCTGTTTGAAATGACTTTTGCTTTTACTTTTCTTGTAGAAAAGCTTTTGATGGAAATTACTTTAATTTTCGTTTGAAAACTATTTTTATAAGAGTTCTCTATTCTAAAAATATTTTTAAAAGAAGTCACATTGGACCAACTTCCTCTAAAAACTTTTTAATTACAAGAAGCGCTTTCATAAAATTAGCCAAATGGGTCTTTTTGACTTTTCAAAAGCTATGCCGAATGGGCCCTAACTAAAATCAATATATGGGAGATGAAGCTGAATATAGAAAAAACAAAGAATAGTTTATATCATTTCCTCACCCCAATGTTCTAACAACATATTAGTATATAACAATCTGAGACATCTTATAATACAAAAGAACAAAAATTCTACAAACAAAGTGATTAAACAAAGAGGAAGTCAGCAATTATCTTCTTCAACCCTCAAATTAAATAAAGAGGGAGCCAACAATATCACTAAATTTACTACCATAAAATTCTCATTTTACTGAAAGAAAGTACTTCTAGGCAACATGGTCAACTTATTTCATATGTATGAAGCAATTTATGTACATTAGCTCGTATATCCTTGTTTCGCGATGTTGTTCTCAATTGGTTTCACTATCAAATTCGATTTTTCTTCAAAATTTTTGCTATAATTAACTATGATTATTATATATCAAGTAATTTTTGTTGAGGTTGTCCCACATCGATTGTGAATGTGGTTGGTATTCAGTTTATAAGTGTAAAGGAAAGCCTTATCTCTTGAGCTAGTTTTTGGGATGAAAGATGTCCAATACTACCCAACAATTTTTTAATAGATAAAATATTTCGAAGGACAAAATATGCCTTTGAAGTAAAAAATATAATTAAAAAACTAATTGCGGAACTAGCTTATCTAAAAATTAATAAAGAGGAGAGAGTTACTCATGTCTTCAACATGTTCCCTCACTTCACTTATGAGTTTAGACCCCCCCCCAAAAAAAATGCCCCATTGAAACAATTTTTATGAATGGGAAGCGGGCAAGACTGGAACTCAAAATCTACTTTAACCCCATATTAGACCACATCGTATATAAAAGCGTAAGATATCAACAAGGGTAAATTTTATTTATTTAAATAGTAATTACTATATTTTTGGGCTAATTTTTCTGATCGTAGACTAAGACGGTGTTTGAGCCCCCTTTTCATGAAAAAAATGCATTTTAGAATAGTAGATTGATGGAAAATTTGTGGCTGAAAAATAAGGAAATTTTTTTATTTACAAGAATGTGTGGTGAAAAAGAAGAGAGAGAAAAATATATTTTGGGAAAAATGAAAATCAAACAAAGTGTAAGTCTTCAAATAAAAAATACCTTAACT